CAACTAAAATGCATATTTTTATCTTTTTATTAAAAAAGGGTTGAGGAGAGTGAGAACAAGATGGAGGAGGAGCAGGTGGATGTGGAGTACATCTCTCTCCGTGGATGCATCAGGAATACACCTTCAGACACAGAAGTGCATGCAGAACACCAGCTGAGAGGGGACAGGAGTACCTGACCAGTGGAAAAGAATATATAGAACCATGCAAAATTCAGTAGGATGAAGAGACTAGGGGAATAAAAGGAGTGTTAGTAGAACTGGACCTGTCCTCGGCGGGTGGGAGTACTAAAGCAAGGGTCCAATCCTCACATCAAGGCAATTGTCTGAGTCAGAGGAGAAACATTCAAGGCTGAGAGTGAAACAGCTGATCTGTGGCAGCCTAAATGGGATGAGACTCAGACAGTCCTTGCCACAGCCATACATACCCCGGACAGGGACGCTGGTCCCCTGGAAGGCGCAGCGGCTGGGAGCTGGAGTTTAGGGATTGTGGCGCAATCCCAGTGCAAGGGCAGCTGTTGACTGTGGAGAGACTGTGAGGGGATGTGAGGGAGGAGATTGTGGTGGGAAATGCCAGTGGAGGAATGCCAACAGCCATGGAAGCAAGGCGATACTGCTGAGTCATGTGTAGGGGGTGGAGCCATCACCATAGCCTCTCTCTCCCCACACTCCAGCATCAGCAGCTGAATGATAGATGCTGGCCTACTGAGCTACAGCCTACGACCCCACCCATCTTGCCCCTTTAAGTGATTGATATGCAAACTACAGAGTAGGATCCCACCCAGGGTGCCCTTTAAGTGCCTGACATGCCGATCTACGGGGTAGGACCCCAGTCAGGGGGGGTCCCTCTATGTACCTGATGCACCCAACAACAGAGACGGACCCCAGGCAAGGGAGCCCTCTGAGTGCCTGAATGGGCAGAGCTATGCAGAAAGACTGGCCAAAGAGGCCTTCTAATCGCCAACTACAAGAGGCTCATAAAAAAAGACTCTGATAGGGCCTGACTCCTGCGGCAGAGGCAGTCCATGTCCCTGCACACTTGGCACCACCAGGGTCCCTGCAAGCCAAGCAGCTGTGTGATCTTCACACTCAACTCTCACTGGGGCAGAGCTGCCACAGGCGAAAAAAAGTCTTGCGTCTATGCACACAGGGTTGCTTCGGTCATATCTGATGCTTTGCAACCCTGTAGACTGTGTCCTGCCAGCCTTCTCCATCAGGGAGGCGGTTCTCCAGGCAAGAATCCTGGAATTGTATTGGTCAATACTGGTTTCCATACCCTTCTAGAGCACTATATTTCCTACTGCCCCAGCCACCAACTCCCCTGAGTACCTGGTGCTGCCAGAACCCCTGAAACCCAAGCAGCTGCACCAGCTCCACACCTAGCCCTCACAGGGGCAAACCCAAGCCCTCCAGGGCAGCCTCAGGAGCAAATACAAGTGGATGACCTACATGTAGAGGTGGAAATAAAACCACAAATGAAACCCAGGGGCAGTGTGGTTAAGGAAGAAGACCCAAAACCTTCCCACCAGATGTACAAACTGCAGATTAAATCATGATCAACCAGGAATCAATAGCAGAATATCTGAAGCAGAAGAACAAATCAGTGAGCTGGAAGAGAAAACAGTGGAAATAAGTTCTGAAGAGCAGAATAAAGTAAAAAGAATGAAAAGAACTGAGGACAGTCTCAGAGACCTCTGGGACAATATCAAAAGCACCAACATTCAAATTATAGGGGTCCCAGAAGAAGAAGAGGAAAAGAATGGGTATGAGAAAATTTTTGAAGAAATTATAGTTGAAAATTTCCCCAACATGGAAAAGGAAATAATCAATCAAGCCCAAGAGGCACAAATAGTCCCATATATTATAAACCTAAGGAGAAGCATGCCAAGACACACAGTAATAAAAAAAAAAACAAAGACTAAACACAAAGAAAGAATAGTAAGAGCAGGAAGGGAGAAACAACAAGTAACATACAAGGGAAACCCTATGTGCTTAACAGCTTATCTTTCAGCAGAAACTCTGCAGGCCAGAAGGGAATGGCAGGGTATATTTAAAGTACTGAAAGGAAAAAAATTTACAGCCAAGGTTACTGTACCTGGCAAGGATCTTATTCAAAACTGATGGAGAAATAAAAAGCTTTTCAGACAAGCAAAAGTTAAGTGAATTCAGTACCACCAAACCAGCTTTAAATAAATGTTAAAGGGACATATATTGTCAAGAAATACAAGAGAAGGAAAAAGATCTACAAAATCAACCCCAAATAATTAAGAAAATGGCAACAGGAACATACATATCAATAATTACTTTAAATTTAAATGGATTAAATGTTTCAACCAAAAGACACAGACTGGCTGAATCATACAAAAACAAGACCCATATATATGCTGTTTACAGGAAACCCACTTCAGACCTAAGATGCTCAACATTGCTCATTATTAGAGAAATACAAATCAAAACTACAATGAGATATCACCTCCCACTGGTCAGAATGGCCATTATCAGAAAGTCTTCAAACAATAAATGCTGGAGAAGGTGTGGAGAAAAGGGAACGCTCTTATGGGAATGTAAATTGATACAACCGCTGTGGAAGATAGTATGGAGATTCGTTAAAAAGCTAGGAATAAAACCACCATTCAGTTCAGTTCAGTTCAGTCGCTCAGTCGAGTATGACTCTTTGCGACCCCATGAATGACAGCATGCGAGGCCTTCCGGTGCATCACCAACACCCGGAGTTTACTCAAACTCAAAACCACCATAGGACCCAGCAATCCCACTCTTAGGCATATACTCTAAGGAAACCAAAATTGAAGAAGACACACGTATCCCACTGTTCATTGCAGCACTATTTACAATAGCTAGAACATGGAAGCAACCTAGATATCCATCGACAGATGAATGGATAAAGAAGCTGTGGTACACATACACAATGGAATATTACTCAGCCATAAAAAGGAATCCCTTTGAGTCAGTTCTAATGAGGTGGATGAACCTAGAACCTATTATACAGAGTGAAGTAAGTCAGAAATAGAAAGATAAATATTGTGTTCTAATGCATATATGTGGAATCTAGAAAAATTGTACTGAAGAATTTATTTACAGGGAAACAATGGAGAAAGAGACATAGAGAATAGACTTATGGACATGGGGAGAGGGGAGGAGAGGGTGAGATGTATGGAAAGAGTAACATGGTAACTTATATTACCATATGCAAAATAGTCAGCCAATAGGAATTTGCTGTATGGCTCAGGAAACTCAAACAGGGGCTCTGTATCCACCTAGAGGGGTGGGGTGGGGAGGGAGATGGGAGGGAGGTTCAAAACGGAGGGGATACATGTATACCTATGGCTGACTCATGTTGAGGTTTGACAGAAAACAACTAAGTTCTGTAAAGCAATTATCTTTCAATAAAAAATAAATTAATTAAAAATAAGGATTGAGCAGAATGTTAATAGGAAGGCAAAACATAAAGGCAGAAGCTCAAGGAAAAATAAACTTATATCCATATTGGATGTTTTTTAAATAAGAAAATGTTTCATAGGCAAGAATTTTAAATCAACAAAGTAGATTCAAATGACCATATGATTTGAAGAGAAATATTATTTAATCTCAAAAACCAATCTTCTCAATAAGTTTAAAGAATATATATGCTGTCTACAGGAAACCCACTTCAGACCTAAGATGCTCAACATTGCTCATTATTAGAGAAATACAAATCAAAACTACAATGAGATATCACCTCCCACTGGTCAGAATGGCCATCATCAGAAAGTCTTCAAACAATAAATGCTGGAGAAGGTGTGGAGAAAAGGGAACGCTCTTATGGGAATGTAAATTGATACAACCGCTGTGGAAGATAGTATGGAGATTCGTTAAAAAGCTAGGAATAAAACCACCATTCAGTTCAGTTCAGTTCAGTCGCTCAGTCGAGTATGACTCTTTGCGACCCCATGAATGACAGCATGCGAGGCCTTCCGGTCCATCACCAACACCCGGAGTTTACCCAAACTCAAAACCACCATAGGACCCAGCAATCCCACTCTTAGGCATATACTCTAAGGAAACCAAAATTGAAGAAGACACACGTATCCCATTGTTCATTGCAGCACTATTTACAATAGCTAGAACATGGAAGCAACCTAGATATCCATCGACAGATGAATGGATAAAGAAGCTGTGGTACACATACACAATGGAATATTACTCAACCATAAAAAGGAACCCATTTGAGTCAGTTCTAATGAGGTGGATGAACCTAGAACCTATTACACAGAGTGAAGTAAGTCAGAAATAGAAAGACAAATATTGTGTTCTAATGCATATATGTGGAATCTAGAAAAATTGTACTGAAGAATTTATTTACAGGGAAACAATGGAGAAAGAGACATAGAGAATAGACTTATGGACATGGGGAGAGGGGAGGAGAGGGTGAGATGTATGGAAAGAGTACCATGGTAACTTATATTACCATATGCAAAATAGTCAGCCAATAGGAATTTGCTCTATGGCTCAGGAAACACAAACAGGGGCTCTGTATCCACCTAGAGGGGTGGGGTGGGGAGGGAGATGGGAGGGAGGTTCAAAACGGAAGGGATACATGTATACCTATGGCTGACTCATGTTGAGGTTTGACAGAAAACAACAAAGTTCTGTAAAGCAATTATCTTTCAATAAAAATTAAATTAATTAAAAATAAGGATTGAGCAGAATGTTAATAGGAAGGCAAAACATAAAGGCAGAAGCTCAAGGAAAAATAAACTTATATCCATATTGGATGTTTTTTAAATAAGAAAATGTTTCATAGGCAAGAATTTTAAATCAACAAAGTAGATTCAAATGACCATATGAAGAGAAATATTATTTAATCTCAAAAACCAATCTTCTCAATAAGTTTAAAGATTCTTATTTATATTGGTAACATTTGGCAATTATCTTTTGTAAAAATCTATATTTTAAAAGCATAAATGTACTTATTCCAGAAAAACATAGAGTAAAATTCCTCTTACCTCATATACATTGAACTGTGATTGCCCTCTAGAAAGTTCCCTATAGCTTGTTGTAAATTCTCCAATGAAATCATGACTATAATTAAGGAGAAAAATACATATAGTATTAGCTTTCAGACATTTGCTAATTACATATTAAAACTTTAAATATATATTCTTATCATGAAAAAATTTTTGATATTACTATGAAAATAATAATATGATAATTTAAAACACACTGACACTTTGTTATGTATACTCCCAATTACATTTTGTTGGTATTCAAAAATATTTCATTTATCCCACCAATGTTAATATTTCAAATAGGTTTATTAGTGTCAATAACTCATATTTCAAAAGTATTTCATCTAGGCTATCCTAAGGATTAACTATTAACTAGGATGAAATTTTAAGACACACAAAATTTATTACCATACATATCAGAATCACAAATATACAAAATCTTCAAACCTTCAATGACCAGTATGTAATAGATCACTATTTTTAAAAGGGAATCCCATGTTGACATGGAATGTTAGGTAGTTAGAATAGGAAAAATGAGACCAGAATGGCGGTGGCTAAAAGACAAGGAAGGGAATAGCCCGAGAAAATAGAACAAAGGAAGGTCCCAGGACCAGAGTGAGGAGCTCAGGTAAAACAAACAGGACTCCTGGCTGGCCCAATTTACATAGGGCAGGCCAGAGGAAGAAGAAAAAACATATAAAAAGAGGAGCCAAAATTAGGCTGGGCGCCTCTTTTCTCTTTTTATCTTTTGGGTTAGCTTGTCCTCATACCTTGAGGATGTATTTTCTTTTACTTTCGAAATAAAACTGAGCTGTAACACTGGTCCATCACTTCAAGTTTTTGTTGTGATGAAACAGAACCGAGGAAATTACACACTCCCCTGACAGGAAATAGTCACTAAGCCTTATACTAATAATTCTAAAGTACATTGATAACACCAAACATGGTTATTCTGAACTTTACCATAAAGCAATCATCACTGCCTTCTCAGAAAGTAAACTTCTACAGTGCCTTCTCAATTTAGACATGGAAGGGTAAAGATTGAGAAAGCATATGTTTGTTTTCATTATAAAATACTTAACAATGTAATTATTGAGCTTGATTTATGCAACTGTAAAACAAGTGTTATGCATTCAGCAGATTAGAGAGGATTTGTAAGGTTGCAAAGAGTCAGACACAACTGAGCAACTAACACACACACACTAATTTTATGGTCAAAACTAGGTTGAACACACACAGAACACACACTGAGACATAAACATAAAATGCTGGTATTTGGTGCAATGCTGAAAAGTAATACATTAGAAGAGGAAGATCAAAGATTGCAGGAGCTGAATTAGTATAACAAAAAGGAGTATTGCTGTTGTTATTTGTATGATAGAATTTAAGCTTGGCCTATTTGCTTGCAAATATGAGGTGTTACCATAAAAACATATTTCCCCCAAAACTCCAGGCAGGTTTATGCTTAACTCTGAGTCACTAAAATCCATAGATCTGATAACCAGTAAGAAGCAACAAGCAAATTGTGGCTAGCCAACCACAATTGATTTCTAAAGTTGGGATTTCAAAGAAAAAAACTAGTGGTCATTAAGTAGTGTTTTTGCAATACATTTTTTAAAAATTAAAATGTAAGATACAACTCATTTAGATATCCAGTTTCCCAGTTCTCCCATATTTTAAAGATCTTGTACATTTATGACAATAATCTATATAGAGCATTTCTCTTTATCCCAGTATCACCTTGACCTTTTCTACAGTTAAGTTTTAAAAGCAGATATACACACATGAAATTAGTAAATGAAAAGAGGATTGAAGGCCGTAATTAAAATATATTTGTGTTTGTGAATCCAAAACCCCCAGCATTCGCTCTTTCAATTTATATGAGGGAAATTACAAAACTGTAATTTCATGCTACATATTTCTTATAAATAAAATAAATCTCTTTAACTTTCAGACATGCAAGCTTATAACCATGATATATTTATAGAAATCTCTGAGACTCTGCTTAGAATCTATTCTCTTCATTGCTATGTGTGTTTTGATATCTTAAGTAATGGTCACCAAGAAAAGGTTCTACTAAAGCACTTCAAACACAATACTTTTATATTGGTTAAGTGTGGACAAGCTTCATATACCAGAGCTCACCACACTAGTCATAAACACAAGGCAGTGAGTGGCGATAGCAATATAATAGCCAGGCCTAGACATAAGGTGCTTTGTCTCAAAAATACATCTCAAGAATCTAGGTACATAAGTGAATAATTCTCAGGTCAGTTTTGTTACAGATCTCTTGAAATGAATGAGAATATTTAGTTTCCTTTGTGAACTTCTATAATTCAAGTACTGTATATTAAATCATAAATAAGTACTTTAAAGAAAGTATTGAAGATGCTCTTCACTGATTTATTCTTATCTTTTCCCCTATCATCAATTATTACTAGATTTTACTAAGATTAAAAGAAAGTAATATTTTATCTGTTCACAGTTGTCAATACAAAAATATTAAAACAATTCTCACTACACAGAGGAATATGATGAAAAGTACTCTGACAATAAGTTACAACCAACAATTTCCTTGAGATTTGATAATACTGCTTTGATATTTCTTGTTAGTTTGGTACTAACTAAAATAATTATTCTGGGTTATAAGTCTCAAAGCTCTCTGCATTTACAAAATAAAGTTTCCTCCACGGTGGTTGATCTGATTTGTGTCCATTTACATTTCTAGTTTTTTTCAAAATTTTTTATAATTGAAATATATTATTTAAAATCTGAAGAAATAAACAGATATTGAGAACAAATTGATTAATATTTTACGTAGTAAGTCGGCTCTCAAAATGCCTAGAGTAAACTGATTTAATTTTTGAATAAAATTTGAATGTTATAAGTATTTCTATATTCTATTAATAGTGGAAAGGAGTATTTTGCACATTTATATTTACATCTGAAACCTGTAAGACAGTTCCTACTTAACAAAGTGCCCATCTTTCCCATTTTTGACATCTTCTTTCACTTAGCTTTTACACTACTGCTTAACTATGATCTCCTCTAAGAAATCTCTCCTCCTTTATGTGCTTTCTCTTTGTTTTTAAAAACAATTCTATCATCACACTTCCTCTATTGTATAATAGCTGTTGTTTATATATCTCCCCTTTTAGTTTTTATGACATATTCAAAGTTAAGAAAGTGAGTGACTTTCCCTGGTGGTCTTGTAGCTAAGAATTTCTGTTCCCAGTGTAGGAGGCCCTGGCTTGATCCCTGGGTGGGGAACTAGATCACACATGCCACAAAGATTCCAGTGTCACAACTAAAGATCCCACAAGTTGCAACTAAAAAAAAAGATCCAAAAAGCCACAATGAAGATCAAAGATCCCAACACAGCCAAATAAATAAAAAGGAAAAGAAAGATGTTAATTTCATCTCCTTATTCTCAGCATCTACTTCAGTGCCTGGTAACCAACGGGCATAACTGAATGTTGCAAATATATTCAAGTCAATGTCACAATCATGCTGTAATCTTACCTTACCAGTAATATTAACAATTTTGCTTCACATGAATTACCTTAAGTACAAAAGAATGGGGCAAGTGTTGAGGATATTAGCCATTCCTACTCTACTCCTTTGAAACAATTCTCTCTGAGGGTAATGCTGATAACTGTTATTTTCCCATAAAAATGCACCCACATTATCACATAAAAGATATAAAAAAAGAGACAGAATATTGCCTTTTCTAGGCATTTCCAATGGTTTTCCTGAAGGTCATCCTGCTTTAGGCACAATGGATGATGCCTATTTTCCTTGCAATCATTAAATTAATATTGCATATATGTACAAACAGCAAATACATACTGAATCTATATTATTCTTTTCTCTATCATCATGTTGTCTTGAGTAAGTCACTTTGGGAACTTTATGTATTCATCTAAAAATTGGAAGCAATGCCTATTTACTGTTCTGAAAATAAACCTAGATAATTCATTTGAATTTTTTCTGTGAAAGGCATATAATTACTATATAGTCATTATTAACAACATTTTTTTTCTGATTTTTAAGTAATATGACTCTAGATACCTATGTCTTAAAGAAGCTTTAATCAAAATAATATCTGAAGATGTAATAGGCTTATGAATTGATATTTGGAAGCCAGTGTTATAAGATCTCTATTTATATCTTCAGCTATTGAGGTACACATTATTAAGAGTGTTTTTTTTTAATTTCCTCAGGAAATATTTATTAAGCATCTACTATGTATCTACCATGTAGTAGATGTTGAGATGTATTAGATGATAAGATGAAGCATAAGACAGATCCAGACTGGAAACATGTTTGCTATATAATGGGGGATAAGTTTCCTTCTTTTTTCTTTAATAAGTTTCCTTGTTAATTAAGCAAAAGTGCACCACAATTTCTCAATAGCTATATTTAAGAATAATTTATATTATTTTTACTGTAGGAGAAGAGCAGCAGTGTTATTCTTTCCAGAGATGACTGAAGTCAAGGCATTAATTCCATAATGTAGGTAAAGTGTATCATGAGAATTTTGATTTCCCATGATCATCACAAAAGTCCAGCTAATAATGTACCAGTTGTCCTTGATTTTGCTTTTATTTCTTTACTTTTCTTCCAGACAAAACTTTTGACTTTAACGTAACTTTTCAGCATTTAGGAATGTTTTTATTCATGCCATAACACTACCTTTCCTTTAGTCTTAAAATTTCAATAAAATCAAGTCTTTTTTATCCTTGTAATTTCCTTAAGTCCTGACAGAAAAGTTAGTTTCCTTTAAAAAGTCCAGAAATATGCTTTTAAATATTATTCAACTATGAGTTGGTCTAAATTTAAATTTTTCTAGGCATTTCCAATGGTTTTCCTGAAGGTCATCCTGCTTTAGGCACAATGGATGATGCCTATTTTCCTTGCAATCATTAAATTAATATTGCATATATGTACAAACAGCAAATACATACTGAATCTATATTATTCTTTTCTCTATCATCATGTTGTCTTGAGTAAGTCACTTTGGGAACTTTATGTATTCATCTAAAAATTGGAAGCAATGCCTATTTACTGTTC